ATCTGATGCCCTCTTCTGGCTTCTGTGGGCAGTGCACATGCATGTATTCAGGCAAAACACTCATACACATAAAATAAAAATAAATAAATCTTATTAAAGTTATTTTTGCATATGTGCTATGTGAGTGTAAGTGTGCATGAGCCAAGACACCCTGTTTGCGTGTGGATCTCATAGGACAACTTTCAGTGTTCACTTCTCACCTTCCATGTCACTGAAGTAGTCTTTCTTGTTTCTGTACCCACCAAGTGCTTGAGGCTAGCTGGCCCTTGAGTTTCTGCAAGCTAGATAACCCTTGAACTTCTGGCTGATTCCCTTGTCTCTGTCTCCCATCTCGCATTGGAATGCTGGGATTACAGATGCAGGCCACTGCATCAGCTTTGTATGTGGGTTCTGGGAATCAAACTCAGGTCACCAGACAAATACTTCTATCTGCTGAGCCATGTCCTGGTTGCTTGCCAAAATTTTGCAATGAAATTCATATATTGGTGTCTGTTTCTTGAGGAGATCAAAACCAAGACACCAGGGAGTGGAGAGGTGGATTAGCAGGAAAGAACACTTGTGGCTCTTGCAAAGGACCTGGGTTCAGTTCCCAGCACCCACATGGTGGCTCAGTAACTCCAATTCCAGAGAATCCAACCCCCCTTTCAACCTCCAAGAGCATGAGGCATACAAATATGCACTCAAGGGTATGAGATACAGACATATGGACAAACTAATACATTGAAAAGAAGAATGAATACATCTTTTAAAAAAAATTCTGGCCGGACGGTGGTGGCGGCGCACGCCTTTAATCCCAGCACTCAGGAGGCAGAGGCAGGTGGATCTCTGTGAGTTCAAGGCCAGCCTGGTCTACAAAGCGAGTTCCAAAAAAGGCGCAAAGCTACACAGAGAAACCCTGTCTTGAAAAACCAATAAATAAATAAATAAATAAATAAATAAATAAATAAATAAATAAATAAATAAATAAAATTTTGCCAGGTGGTGGTGATGCATGCCTTTAATCCCAGCAGTTGGTAGGCAGAGGCAAGCGGATCTCAGTGAGTTTGAGGCCAGCCTGGTCTACAAAGCAAGTTCCAGGACAGCCAGGACTGTTACACAGAGAAACCCTGTCTTGGAAAAAAATAATAATAATAAAACAACAAAATAAAAATTTCCAAGACATCCAGAAAAGACAGGATGATTGCAAAGGTTTGAGTCAGAGTCAGGGCTGGGTTAAGTCAGGGAGATCTTGCTGCTTGTCCAGTCAATAAACCAAACACCAGAGTTCTGGTTTTACTCATAAGTGAGTTTCCTGCCTGACACCTGGGGATGGGAGGCAGTAGGGGTTTTACCACATCTTGAAGCAGAAGATAGATTTTCATCACATATCTCTTCTGACTTCCTGCCTCTGAAATGCTCCATTTCCTCCCATAATGCCCCAGGAACCAGTGAGTCGTACATGGGGGCAGAGCTCACACAATGCAATGGTCATAAAGGTGGGGCTGGTGGCTGACCTAATTTCCAAAAGCCCAGCCACTTTATTTGTTTTAATTTAAGTATAGCTCACTGGACTGGTGAGATGGCTCAGGGGATAAAGGTGCTTGCTATACAAGCCTAGAAAACTGAGTTCGATTCCCAGAACTCACATAAAGGTGGAAGAAGAGAGCCATCTCACAAGGTTGTCCTCCAGTGGTCATACAGGTGACCCCACATCACAAACACACATATATAGTAATGAATAATAAATATTTGTCAAATGAAGTGTAGCCTGAGGTTAAATTTCAGTCTGTCCTGGATCTCGCTCTGTAGACCAGGCTGGCCTTGAACTCACAGAGATCCTCCTGGCTCTTCCTCTCGAGTGCTGGGATTAAAGGCGTGCACCACCACCGCCGCCCTGCCGCCGCCGCCGCCGCCGCCGCCACCACCCTCTGGTACTATTTTTTAATGATGTGGAAGTGTGGTTTAATGAAGACATTGTAACATATCCTTAAGTACAAAAGAGAAGTGCTCAGAAGAAAGAAACATACCCAAGAGCATGGGTGTGGGCATCTTAAAGACAAGTTTTGGGAGATTTTAACCTTTTCATTGTATAGTATAAATGATTGTTTTTAATTTAAAAATCATAAGTCATACAACTACCAGTACAATCAAGATAGGTAATAGATAGATAGATAGATAGATAGATAGATAGATAGATAGATAGATAGATAGATAGATTGGGTTTTTTTGGTTTGTTTGTTTTATTTTAAGATTTATTCATTTATTATGTTTACAATGTTCTGTACGCATGTATGCCTGCAGGCCAGAAGAGGGCACCAAATCTCATTACAGATGATTATGATTGTGGTTTCTGGGAATTGCACTCAGGACCTCTAGAAGAGCAGCCAGTGTTTTTACTGCTGATCCATCTCTCCAGCCCTATATATAGTTTTTTTGAGACAGGGTTTCTCTGTTCAGCTCTGATATCCTGGAACTTGTTCCATAGACTCAGAGATCTGCCTGCCTCTGTTTCCCAAGTGCTGGGATCAAAGGTGTGCACCACCACCGCCCGGTAAGAATTGATCCTTATTAGGTACAGGTAAAGCCACTCAAAACATGACCCTTTGGCAATCTGAGAACTTTCAGTGAAGGAAATCAAGAAAATCCTAGAATGGACTCTCTCTGATCTACTCCAACCTTCCTCTCCTGACACATGGCCGTGGATAGAAGCCTCTGTGTGTCCCTGAAAAAGAAGGTCATGTGACAGGTGACCTGTCTCAGACCTGGAAGACAAAAGGAATCTGCACAAAGAGGCCTGGCTAAACCCACCCACCCTCCAGTTTGTTATCAATGGTTAGACTTCCTCTCTGTCCATTCATACTTGCACACAGCTGTCCATCCATCATGTCTAAGCATAAAGGTCCACTTCTCCCTGAGTCTGTGCATCTTCATTTCTGAAGGCTCCTGTTTCACATAAAATTTTAGCTAATAATAGTGTGTGCTTTTCCTTTAGTAAGCTGGCCTTAGTTGTGGGAGGATCGGCTGTGAAATTTGCCATGAGTGAAGAAAAGAAATCTTTTGGGGGAGAAAAGATTGTCCAGTGGGTCACAAGCCTGACCCAAGTTAGACCCCTGAAGCCCAGGTAAAGGTGAAGGAGAGAACCAATTCTACAAAGCTGTCCTCTGACCACCATGGGTGTCCCCCCTCACACAGTGCACAGACATAATAATAATAATAATAACTTTTAAGTAATAAATCTTTTCTTCCTTTTAATTCCATTGTTTGGCTTTAGTATTTAAGAATAGTACCCAGGGGCTGCCTAACTACATCTAGAAATGCTTCCTGTGTTCATAGAACACATAAGTGAACGATGGCCAAGGGTGTACACTGAAGTGATGTCTGTACAATGGAGGCACTGGGAAGGAGGGTGCTGTCGGCGCAGCAGCGGCACCGGAATCCACTGCCCTTTCAGCCGCTGACTGGCTCCACAGTCACTGCCCAGCGGCTCAGCCTGAGCCTGGCAGGACTTCTGTGTCCCTCCAGAACCTCCTCTGCCTCTGCAGCCAAACGTAGTTTGTAACTAAGTCTC